GTTCTGGGCCTGAGGAGTGAGATCCCCCTGGGTTGCAGCCCCTTCTCTGTTCCTACCACTTCCTTTCTGTGGCTAGGCACCTGGACAGGGGCTCTGGATATAGTCAAAAAGCACTATCAATGAATCTCGCAGCTGTGAGCAGGGTGAGATTAGAGGAGGTAGGAGACAGAGGTGGCTTGCCTCTACCGTATTTCTCCTCATAGGAGGCTCTGAATGCTCCCTGGGGAAGCTTCCACCACTGAAGCAATCCAAAAGAAGGTCATTTGCTTTCTAGGACTGCATCAGAATGTTTTTCACAGTGCATAGTAGCAAAGATGCAGGAATCAACTTGGTGAGCTAGGTTGTAGAAGGAGTGAGCCTGGCTCAAAAATTATCAGAGAGACTAAAGTCTTGCTATTCAAAGTATAGTCTGAGCTAGGCACTTTAATTCCAGTAGAGGCAGTCAGATCTCTGTGAGTTCAAGGTGAGCTTGGTCTACATAGAGAGTTCCAGGCTAACCAGGGCTACATAGTAAAACCTTGTCTCAAAACAAGAGTATAGTCTGAAGGCACCATCCTGGAGATCATTAAAATACAGCCCTACCTTGGGTTGCCTGAAGAAAGATCTGTATTGGTTTGGTTTGGTTTGGTTTGGTTTGGTTTGGTTTGGTTTGGTTTAGTTTTGTGGTGCTGGGCATGGAACTTTGAACCTTGTGCTAGCCTTCCACTACTGAGCTACATTCCTGGCCCCGGGTACTCTTGTGGGAGATGCAGAAGGCTAGAATCATCACAAGATGATGTAAGGAGCTAACACTGCACCTGGGCGTTTTTCCTTTTGTGAGTGCGGAATTGGAGGGTTCTTTGAACATTGTCATTTTGAAACAGGGTCTTCATATAGCCCCAGATGGCCTAGAACTCACTATGTAGACCAGGCTGGCTTCAGTCCCACAAATATCTGCCTGCCTCTGCGTCCAAAGAGCTGGGATCAGAAGTGTGTGCCGCCATGCCGGACTCTGCCCCAAGCTTTCTTGAGTATTGATACCACCCAGCTTGAGGGTTTTCTTTTTTTTTTTTATGTGTATGAGTGTATTGTCTGCATGTATGTGAGTGTGCCCATGTTGTGCAATGCTGCGGAGGTCAGAAGAGGGCTTCGGATTCCCCTGGAACTGGAGTTAAGGACGGTTCATAGCCTCCATGTGGGTGCTGGGAACCGAACCTGGGTCCTCTGCAAGAGCAGTCAGTGATCTTAACCACTGAGCCATCTCTCCAGCCCCAGGGTTTTCTTTTTAATAAGGCTTGGGAGAGAGGTACAATGAGAGAGCAGCCAGTAAGACCAAACTCCTAAGAAAGCGGGTAAGCAGGGTTCAGTTGGCATGGGAGCCAGGGGCAGGGGCTGGCCTAGAGGCTCCTGACCTTTGGTTGGCTCCAGTTCCTGGCACTGTTGGGCCCTGAGATGGTAAGTTCCTGGCAGACCAGGCTCCCAGGCAACAGTTTGAGTAATCCTGTGATTACTCAGCTCCCCCTCCCCAAGCTGGGTTCCCACCGTCTGCTCTTCAGGGACTGGCTCATGGTGTAGGTCTCGAAGGTTTGTTTTCAAAGGTGTTTCTCAGCTCTTCTCACCGGCCCCCTACCAGTCTCCCTTCCCTTCTGTAACCTCTTCTCTTCCTCAGGTTTTACAGAGAGAGAGAGAGAGAGAGAGAGAGAGAGAGAGAGAGAGAGAGAGAGAGAGAAGCAAACTGGTACTTTCTCTTTCATGTTTAAGGTGGGTGGCATTGAAGAGAGTTAAGGTACAGGGTTGCAAAGGAAGGAAAGAGGAGAGGGTAAGAAGCCTGATCATGCTGAGGGTTGGGCTTAGGGTCAGGGAACAAGTAGGGGTTTCCCTATATTTCTGCCTCCTCTCCATTGCTGTGACTGTTTTCTCCCAGTCCTGAGTTTCTTAGCCTCCCTAACTCAAATTGGCTAGAATCTGACATCCAGATCTTTGATTCTGTGTATCTGTCTTCAGTCTCCTTGGACTAGAGTTTGGGAAGATGGAGAAGGGGCTCGGCTAACGACTCGGCTAGTGGGTCCAGGGCTCCAGCATTGCCCAAGTCCCCCAGTCCTTGGCTGGCCACATCTCCTTATGAGAAAGGCAGGGTCTTGGTGACACTGTGATAAGATACCTAGGACTAGGACCAACAGTGGGTCAAGTATGGGGCAGGGAGATATGTGTGGGGTCACCTATGTGGTCAGTGTACACACGCACACGGATGTGGCCCTTGGAGAAGGGAAGAGGCAGGGAGGCCTGTGGTTGACTGCTGGGCCGGAGCCTGAGTTCCCACTGTGGCTTGGCCTAATCTCCCTCCCACTTACTTTTCTGGGTGACCCACGTTGGTTTCCCCCACTCTCTGGTCTTAGGGCCACTGAAGAGAGAGAGATACCACAGCAAGAGCAGAAACTGTGGGGCCAAGTACTTCTGCCAGCCTGCCCTGCCCATGGATTTGCTTCACCTGGATCAGCAGTAACTGGCCTTTGTGGCATTCTGCCCCTACACAGTGTCATTTAACCACACCGCATGACCTAAGTCACCCGTGGACAGGCCATGTTGCTTTTACCCTCATTCACTGCCAGGGGAACTGAGGCTGAGAGAGAACGTCAGTGACTGGAAGTGCAAGTGCCCCCACACTTTCCACCCCTCTTCCAGGCACCCAGGTCCCCTCTTGTTCTCTCTTCCTCTCCAAGCATTGAAACCTGCTTGTAACTTACAGGAAAGAATCTGAAAAGCTCACTTGCCATCTGGTCCTGGGGAAGCCACAGCTTACTATGCAGTTGTCAGGTAGCAAGCATGGCTGGGGGTGGGACGAAGAACTAATGGAAGGATTTCAGACACCTATGTTCGGTCCCCTTGAGGAGACAGCCATGTAATCTGACTCAGAGAAGATATGGTTTAAGGGTGATGGAAATATTTTGGGGAGTGTCAGACAAACCATGGTCTCCCTCTCCACATCAGCAGGTTCATATGTGTTTTGGTTTGGTCTAGTTTGGTTTTTTTAATATTATTTTTACTTTATGTGTATGAGTATATTGCCTGCTTGTAGTTAGGTGCACCCATGTCACACAATGATCTCATAGGTCAGAAGAGGGCATCGGATCCCCTGGAACTGGAGTTATGGACATAACTCCCATGTTAGCCACCATATGGATACTGGGAATCAAATCCATGTCCTCTGCAAGAGCAGCCAGTGCTCCTAACTGCTGAGCCATCTCTCTATCTCCTAGTTTGGTTTTTTGACAGGTCTGATAGAGCCCAGGTTGGCCTTGAACTCACTATGTAGCCAAGAATGATTTAGAACCCTTGATCCTCTGCCACCACCTCTCAAGTGCCTGGATTACAGGCATGTGCTTCCACACCGGGCTAGCAGACCCCACATGTGACCAGGGACCAGGCCGAGGGCTGGAAGTGAGGCTCCATGAGGCACTTACTCTGTCCCTAGATGGGAGATGTATCACAGATAAGAAAGGGCTTTTGTTCGCAACCATTTTTCTGGCCTGCTCCACCCCCAGCCTCTCCACTCAGAGAGCAGCCAGTAAGACCAAAGGTGGTGGTGAAACCAGAGGTGGTGGCGAAAAGAGACCCATGGGTCCTTAGAAGTGCTGCTGGAAATACTGGAGCAGCCGGGAGCCCAAACTTCACCCATCTGCCTCTTTTTCTCCCCCAGTACTAGAGATGGACTTTAAGGTTTCATGCATGTAGGCAAGTGCTCTACCACAGAACTATGCCCTAGCCCCACTAGATGCCTTTTAAGGAAGGGCTAGAAGAAGGCCTCTTGCTGTCCTTGAAACTCTGCAGGAGGCTGTGGGCATTGACAGGGACAAGATGGAATAGAGGAAACAAACCTGGAACCCAGCAGAGGCCACAGCGGAAGGTGATCACACACGGCTCACAATGAATTCAGTAGGAGTGATAATCTGGGTCCTGGTGACCGACCAGTGAGCAAGCACTAACCCACAAATGTATATGCTGGTACTAGTAGATTTACAAGCCACATATAGCTTTCATGTACACACACACACACACACACACACACACACACACACACAGCCTTCAAACATGCCAAGAAGCCCTGTATACAACAGCATAATGGACAGTTGAGGGGTATGGAAATGTAGACCCGGCTTTCAAGCAAACTAACTATGTGAGGCTGGGCAAACCACCTTTCCTTATCGGACCTAGTTCTTCATCTGTCAAGTGAGCAGGTGAATGAGGTGGTCTTTAATCTCAGCCAGTTTCAACAGTCATGATCTGTGCCCACAGACGGACACAGATGTCCCTGTACATTCTCTTACACACTGATACACAGAGATACCTTATGTCAGTTCTGCGGCCAAGGGCTTAGGAAGCCTTTGGTTCTCTCCCTGGCCTCTTGGGCAGAGCTGAGATGCTGAGCCTCATTCTCCTGGGCACCGTCTCCACTTCTTCCTAGCCACTCTGCATCCTACTCCATGGGTTCTCCCCAGTTCTGTCTCTGAAACTCCACCCAAGCCTTCACTATCTTCTAAGAATGATGGTCTCTGCCTAGCCCCTAGTTGCCTCCTGCCTGATGTACCCCATCTTCCTGCCATTGCCCACATTCTGTCCACAGGAGCCAAGCTTCAGTAGGTGGAAGGCGGCACAAAGGAAGTTCCTTGGGCGGGAAGCAGGTGTTATGAAGCAGTAAGGACTCCTGTGGCCTTATGTAAGAGAGGAGCAACTGGAGATGCTCAACGTGAAGGACTGAGCAGGTGGCCTCTCTGCAGCTGCTTTCTGCCTCTGTAAAGACAATACAACTCCCAGCTGCTTTGTGAAACAAAACACAGCCTCTTCTGAGCCTTTGCTGAGGAGAGTTTATCACTTCCCCCTTTATTTGCAAGAGGGAAACAGCTTGGTGGAACTGGCGGGAGAAGTCAGGGAAGCACCAGGCACCTGTGTCTGCAGCCCAGGTTCATCCTAGTAGAAGTCAGAAAAGGCTCCTGGGCTAACCAGCTTCTCTTTCTCTCTTCCAGCACAAATTGAAGTGATCCCTTGCAAAATCTGTGGGGATAAATCGTCTGGGATCCACTACGGTGTTATCACCTGTGAGGGGTGCAAGGTGAGTTGTAGCCATCGTATGCATACCTATACTGGGTCGGTCATTTCGAAGCAGAGGACAGGGCTCTGTGGTCTCCTGAGGGCCCTGAGCAAAGGAAGAGGAGGAGGACCTGGTCTTGCTCTGAGAAAGTGACCACAGGGTCAATCACAATTGTACAGTGGAGGTGAGAAGACTGAATGAAGGTGGGAAAGTCCTGAGGACAGTGTATGTGGGCTGGAGGTCCTCAGGACCACACGAAGCTGGGCCTTCGCAGGCGAGACAGTCTCGCCTTCTCCTGCCTTCCTCAGGGCTTTTTCCGACGGAGCCAACAGTGTAATGTGGCCTACTCCTGCACCCGTCAGCAGAACTGTCCCATCGACCGCACCAGTCGGAACCGATGCCAGCACTGCCGCTTGCAGAAGTGCCTGGCTCTGGGCATGTCCCGAGACGGTGAGGATGAGTGATCAGCCCACTGGGGGGCCCTGTGGTGTCCAGAGGCAGCCTAGCCTGCTGTGCCAGACAGGATTCCTCCCCACAGTCTTCTGTCTCTTCTTTGTGGAAGTTTTCTCAGGGCTCTTCAGAGTCCCTCCTTTAGGCAAATCTTTCCCAGCATCCCAGCCCTCTTGTTTCTTCTTCCTCTGATGAATTGTCTTCATACTGCTCTCCCCTGATACCATCCAGTTTCCATGTTGTTCCCTCCTGCCCTGTCACCCTACTTTAGCTCCATCTCCCTCCCTAACTCCCTGTACCATTCTAGGCTCCCTGTACCACTAAGCCACCATCTTGTTCCTGTGCCTAGGAACAGGATCAGAGCTGACCTGAGAATGACCCAGAAGGTGGGGGATAGAGAACAGTGTTCCTAAGGTCTTATCCACCATCCTCACCACAGAAGGAGCCCAGGCAGGGTGGGGTGGGGGGCATGAGGCGAGGAGGAGCCAGAAGGAGCCTGTCAGCACTTTTCAGTGCTCAAAATAACAAAGCGAAAGGAAACATGCAGGGGTGCAAAGGGGCAGGCGGGGCGAGGGGCTGTGCCCCCACACCTGGGGGGGGGGCAAAAAGGCAGGAAAGAGAGCAGAAGAGGATGTTCAGAAGCAAGCCACGGAGCCTGGGTTGGGCTGTGGTGAGTATCTAGGTCACCAGGGAGCCTGCAGGCCTGACCACAGGGAGACCTGTGTTCTCAGCCCTCCTCTTCCTCCAGCCCTCCCAGACAGGCAAGCTGACCCCAATACAGCCTGAGGCCCCCTATTCCACCCCTACCCCAACCCCAATCTCAGGAGACCAGGGTTCCCAGCCCAGACTCATTGCTTGAGTTCTGCCACTATTTGAAGCTAGTTTAGAATTGAAAAGATCTTGCTCAGGAGATGGAAACACAGATGGGACACATCCTAAAGGGAACAGAGCAAGGTGAGGGAAGAGTCTGGAGCTGAACTCCCAAAAGGAAAATTTTTAGATTAAGCTGGAGAAGCTGGGCTTGGGGTCAGATCCATGTATCTGTTGACCCTGCCCCGAACCATGTTCTCCTGTCTCCTGATTCTTGAACCTTCTTCAGCTGTCAAGTTTGGCCGAATGTCCAAGAAGCAGAGGGATAGCCTGCATGCAGAAGTGCAGAAACAACTGCAGCAGCAGCAGCAGCAGCAGCAACAGGAGCAAGTGGCCAAGACGCCCCCAGCAGGAGGCCACGGAGCAGATACACTCACCTACACCTTGGGGCTCCCAGATGGGCAGCTACCACTGGGTGCCTCACCTGACCTGCCCGAGGCGTCTGCCTGTCCCCCTGGCCTCCTGAGAGCCTCAGGCTCTGGGCCACTCTATTCTAACAACTTGGCTAAAACAGAAGTCAACAGGGCGTCCTGCCACCTCGAGTACAGCCCTGAGCGAGGCAAAGCTGAGGGTAGAGACAGCATCTATAGCATGGGCAGCCAGCTTACTTCTGGAAGATGTGGACTTCATTTTGAGGGATCCATGCACCCTGAGCTTGAGGAACCGGGACAAGGTCCAGACAGTCACTGTAGCCCCAGTTTCTGCAGCACCCCAGAGACACCATATGCCTCTCTGACAGAAATAGGTGAGCAGCTGGGGAGGTCGAGGGGGTGGTGGAAATGAGGGAAGAGCTTCCACCAGCACCCCGTCAACCAAACATGAGCCCAAAGGAGCTGAGGGGTCCTAGATAAGGAGCCAAGGGAGGAAGTGGAACAGGATAGACTAGGCAGAAAGCCTCTTTACAAGGGTCAGGGTAGGAGATGGCTGAAATCAAGCTGTGCCTTCCTCCTCTGGCCCCAGAGCACCTGGTACAGAACGTCTGCAAGTCCTACAGAGAGACATGCCAGCTGCGGCTGGAGGACCTGCTACGGCAGCGCACCAACCTCTTCTCCAGGGAGGAGGTGACCAGCTACCAGAGGAAGGTGAGGACAGGAGTGGTGGGGGAATGGAGGGCATCACACCCCACCACTGAGAGAGTCCAGTAAGATGGCTACTTACACAGATAGGAGGGAGACAGGGTATCACAGACATGGGCTACACAATAGGTGTGTATCCCACTTTTAAATATAGGTATATGTCTGTCTACACACTAGCACATGGGTAAGAGCTTTTCCTTAGCTCCTGCTTATTAAAATTTTACCCAGCAGCCAGGTGTGGTGGTACACTCCTTTAATCCCAGCACTCAGGAGGCAGAGGCAGGCGGATCTCTGTGACTTCAAGGCCACATAGTGAGTTCCTGGCCACTTGGGGCTACATGGAAATCTTATCTCAAAAAGACCAAAAAAAAATTTTTTTACACAGCTATCAACCTGCCTCCTTTACCACCCAGACCTTAGCACATTGCCTGTCTTCCTCCACCAGTAACTGACACTAAGCAGAATCTGAGGACCTTGTACTAAACACCCTTTCTCTGCCAAGCATTGTACCAAATGCTTTGATGAACTGTATCTACCCTGCAGTCTTGGGCTGCATGCAGCCAAGGATAGCTAGATAACTATGAATGAGGACTGTGAAATTATACTTACTTAAAACATGAGATTTGATCTTTTTCTTTTAACTCAGTTGCACTGTTCTTGAGCATGAACTTTGTAGATGACATTGTGGTGGCACAATGTTAAAAAGTTGGACATGCCTGTGAGATTATCCTCAATCCTTCCAACAACCAGCCTCTGAGAGCAACATTTACATCTGGGCAGACTTGCTCAGGACTACAAAGTCAAAGTCAAGTTCAGGTCTATGAGCTCCAAAATTTATGTTCTCTCTTCTGTCATACTCTGACAGTACTAGCTGCTCTAAAATCAGTCAGCACTTCATTATTTGTTTCTCTAGGTTATTAAGACCTTGGACAAGTCCTTGGGGGAGGGAGAACAGCAATGACTTTTGACTTCGACAAGATGTAAATTGTTTGGAGATAGAACTGTATCTTGTACGACTTCTATTTCTCTACAGCAACTATCACAGTGTTTCAGGGAGCTCACACCACCTGTCTGGAGCCACCCAGTAGGAGTCAGGAGAGCTCTCTTCCAACCTTTTCTCCCCTATAGCAGAATCCTTGTACCTGGCATTGATGGGCTACATAAACGACCCAGTGAGAAGGAAGCTTGGAGTTAGGAAGCAATTCTCTTCCTTACATATCCCTTCATTTCCCTTATACTGAGCTGGTGGGTATCAGTGAGGGAGAATTGACCCTGAGTACATTTGTGGTAAGAACAGACTTGAGGGTTGAAAATATGGGGCTTTAACCAAGCATGGTGGCGCACGCCTTTAGTCCCAGCACTTGGGAGGCAGAGGCAGGTGGATCTCTGAGAGATCAAGCCCAGCCTACTCTACATAATGAATGCCAGGCCAACTGGGGCTACAAGGTGACCCTGCCTCAAAAAGACCAGAGAGAGAGAGAGAGAGAGAGAGAGAGAAGAAAAGGAGAAAAAAGAAAATGTGGGGCTTTAGAACCAACTCCCTGCAGTTTATGGGGTACATGGACTTGGGAGGATCATAGGGCCTCCCCTCTGTCCCTGCAGTCAATGTGGGAGATGTGGGAGCGCTGTGCCCACCGCCTTACAGAGGCCATTCAGTACGTAGTGGAGTTTGCCAAGCGGATCTCAGGCTTTATGGAGCTCTGCCAGAATGACCAGATCATACTACTGAAAGCAGGTACCCAGGGATGGGTGTGCAGGCCTGGGGATCCAGGGAGACCATGGGCTAGGGTGGCAGCAGAGTGAGCCTGGGGGACTGAGCCAGAGCCAAGTGGAGGGAAGTGACCTAAAGACACCAGGACACTGAAGGAGTCTGATTCCTGACTTTGATTGACACTGCCCACCCATCTTTTCTTATCCTTCTTCAGGAGCAATGGAGGTCGTACTGGTTAGGATGTGCCGAGCCTACAACGCTGACAACCACACAGTCTTTTTTGAAGGCAAATATGGTGGTGTGGAGCTGTTCCGAGCCTTGGGTGAGGGGCAGGAGAGAATGAAAAGATTCTCATGGCAACCTCATCCAAAGTTTCGTGGCCCAGGGTACCCTCTGCGTGGGGCTGATGGTCTCTTCTGCTCTAAACACCCGAAGGGCAGGGTCAGGGGGACCATGGCCTCATTCTCCTGTTCATTCCCATCTCCATTCTGTCAGGCTGCAGTGAGCTCATTAGCTCCATCTTCGACTTCTCCCACTTCCTCAGTGCCTTGCGTTTTTCTGAGGATGAGATTGCCCTCTACACAGCCCTGGTTCTCATCAATGCCAGTAAGTGTATCTGGGCGTGGGGAGAGGGCATCCTGGTGGCTAGGACACAGCAGCTATCTGAACCTAAGCTGTCAGATGTGGCTCAATCTGAGAGACTGAAATAGCAAATGAACTCTGCCCAAGATTACTGTAAAATAAAATGCACTTAAAGATTCAGAGGAACCTTAGAACAGGACAAGAACAGCATAAGGTGGGGTCATAGAGGTGGGAAGAAGTGAGGTTGGGAGGAAGTGAGCCATTTTCCTGGCAGACGTCAGTCTACTGATTGGTGTGTAGCAATGACTCCTTTGCAGCACATATTGGAATCCCATGGGGAGCTTTAAAACCTGATTGAGAGCCTAGATCTTGCTTCCAGATTCTGATGTAATTGATCTGGGCCGCATCCAAAATTTTAACAGCTACCTCCAGATTGAGCCACCAAGATTGAGGATAACAACTTGTGAGCTCATTTTGAGACAGAATGCCTGCAATAGCGGGGCTCTGCGTAGCCACTTCACTGGACTGGAGCAGTTGGGCTGGGCCAGTTGAACACTAAATATCTAGAAGACCTGTGGAAGTGGGTCTGGCTGCTCTGAGTTCACTGATCAAAAAAGTACCAGTCTTCCAACTCTACCAAATACATCCCTCGATCTAGAAGCAAAAACTTTAAAGATGACTTCTGGGTATTTTAGGGAAGCAGGGCAAAAGGTAGTTTGGAAGCCGAAGAGAGCCACAGACCACCCCGCCCCACATGGCAGAAATCTAGTGCCTAACACTGAAAGAGCTACATAAAAGACAAGCAAGCTTACCAGGGATAAAGTAGCCTGGAGTTAGGAGATTCCTATCCCATTCATAGCTCCCTAGTTTCCCATGTAGACAGCTAGACAGGCCCAAGGCCCCACAACTTGCTCTTATCCAACACACACTCAGCTGAGAAGGTCTCCCTAACACATGTGTCCAAACAGATACATGACACAGTTTTGCTGGACATGAATATCCACTTTGTTTCTGTTTTCACTCTGATTGCATCTCTTCCTTCAGATCGACCTGGGCTCCAAGAGAAAAGGAAAGTGGAACAGTTACAATACAACCTGGAGCTAGCCTTCCATCATCATCTCTGCAAGACTCATCGCCAAGGCCTCCTGGCCAAGGTAGGAGCAGTCTGTGGGATAGCAGAGGCCAGGCTCACTGCCAGCTCAGTGACATCAGGGCTTGTGACAGTAGGGCCAGGGGGAGCGGAGAAGGGCATGCCAGAGTGCTACATTGTGTCAGAAAGCTTGCAACAGCAGTGGGGACTGTGGGAGCAATTGCTTCCTTGTGCAAAGAGATGGAGAGTTAGAGAACTTAGCGTTAGAAGACACCTCCAGGGAGCAATTCAGTTTAATATAGCCGACACTTACCCAGCACCTGCTTATACTGGCACTGTGGAAAGATACAGAGATTCCAATTCTTGCTCCCACTAAAATATTTTAATCTGGTATAAAGAGACTGTATACTTTCCAATAGAACTCTAATATAGAGTGGAATGTGTGAAATGTTAATAGTGAGAAAGGGCTTTCACTGATATATTCTATTATCCTTAGGGCAACCCAGTTTTACTAGAACAGGTGTTAAAACTTCTCTATAGCAATAGAGACTTCAATGACTTGCATTAATTGATAATACAAATCTTAATTTCAATGCTCTTTCCATATTCATGGGCCTCTAATATATTATTATAAAAGCTTTTTGGAAGCTGGGTATGTCTGTAATCCCAGCACTCAAGAGACAGAAGCAAGAAAAATAAGTTCAAGGTCATCCTCAGCTACAGAGTGAGTTTGAGGCCAAGCCTGGGTGACATGAAACTCAATCTCAAAAAGCAGAAGGGGAAGCAGAAGCAGGCGGATCTCTGTGAGTTCCAGGCCAGCTGGGGCCACAGGGAGACCCTGTCTCAAAGACCGAAAAAAAAAAAAAGAGTGGGGGACTGGAGAGATGGCTCAGTGGTTAAGAGCACTGGCTGCTCTTGCAGAGGACCCAGGTTCGATTCCTAGCACTCACATGGTGA